AATCATAATTTGTTCCTTCCTCAATACTCTGTGATCTTTAAAGAAAACGGGATTTAGTATAATACATACGTTTTGTGCTTTTGAAATTCAATTGTTTTATAAAAAAAGGCAAAAACAAGTGAATGTGATGGAAGAGAATACATAGGAAGGGGGACATCCGTTTTCTGTACGCGATCTCCGTCAATTAAATGATATTTAGGGCTGCGGTCCCTTTGATATTTCAGCATATTCATGTGGCCGCGTACTTTGCCACATTATAACATAAAAGGAAAAAATAATTGTTTTATCCGTAACTCGAACAAATTCCAAGTACACGGTGTATGTCACATCAAGAAAGCAAATCAGTATTTTTCGAACTTTCCCAGAGACCACTCGCCTCGTTTTCCTGCGTAGCGGCACGCCCTGTAATTACCCGCCGACTGCACCAGTGCCCAGTGCTCTGAGCGGCCACAACGCATTATTAAAATCACGTCATTTTTGTGTGACATTACAACTTGCGTGTCACGACACATTACTAAGAATGACCGATTACATTCGCGTAACAACAGACAAGGAATTTTACATTAAAGTTTGTGTCAATTTGGTTTATGAATAAAATAAACCTGTCCTAAAAGAGACGTACCTTTTTCAACTTCCGAAAAAGGGTTCTCTTTATGTTTCTACTGATCTTTGCAATAGGGCAGGGATGGGCGTGCCAAAAACGACATCAATATTTTGGCCACGTCTGATTACACAATTCGTTGTGCATAAAAATTGTGAAGTAGGTATCATAAGAGTATTATATTACGCTGCGTAATGTTCTCAATGATCAGGAAGTCAAAATTATTTGACGACACGTTTCGTTGAACATTTCTTAAACTGGCAAATTGATATTATAAGTTCGCCACCCCTGCACTAGTGTAATGTTTTCAGACTGATATATCATATTTTTAGTCGAGTTATTGTTTCACAGCGTGACTTGGTGTTAGAAATTCCTTGTTATTACAACGAGCTTTAGTTGTATCCTGGGGCTGTATGGGAGTTTTCAATGGCATGTCGGCGTGGTGGCATGGTGGTATGGTGGCGAAGTGGTAAGTCGGACAATGGGTGAGCGACGACGAAGGAACAATGGGGTGAGCAGAGCTTATAGAACAATAGCTGCGCCCGCGGCTGCCTACGACTGTACACCACACAACACGGATTTGCTAACATTTGGAGGTGAATAGGAAACATGAAATATGACGATTTGTTTTATATAAAATTCATTGTCAAATTAATCATTTCATGTACTAACTTTTGTAAATTAACTAAACTAAATACTATATTAAATATTTATCTTTAATTAAGTACTTACAATATTCAAGAATAGATAACGAAGATTACCATTCATAAGATTAGTCATATGTCAAAGAAAGTCTAAAAACCGTGTACATATTTGCCTTTTAAATAAGATCCTGTTTATAATCTATTATAATCCGCATCCATTATATGTTATAGCTCTTGTACGTGTTAGAGCGTTTGGTAGACAATACGCGAGATGTTAGATAGCGAGCATTGTCCGCCAGCCGCCGCAGCCGCCCTGACCCGCCAACGACCAGCTTGCATACCGCGCATTGCTTAGAGGACCACACCGCGGCAAACCGCGTACATTGGATAGAATACTTTGTTGTGTATTTACGTAAAATCGAACTGTCAATCGTGATAAAACTACCAACATAATATATCTAAACTCTTAAGCGTGGGAACTTTAAATAATCTTCACATGATATAGAGCACATATTAAACAAAGGAGGACCAATCGGACCACGCGATTGCCTTCTAACGTCTTAATGACTCTCTCACACTTTCTTTGCCTGCTCATTGCCTATTATCTGTCATCAAGACGACCGGCCACACCAACTGGACCTCCCCCTCCCACCGCATTTAATACTATATTCAACTTTACAATGAAAATTAACCTCACGGCGGAGATCAACTAACGCTGGCCATCCATTATCTTTAACCCTTTTGTGTGATTTTTAATCACCGACGCATGCAACGTCATTTTTAGACGCGGTCGCTGTCCGATTGAAAATTAACTTTATAATTACGTGTCTTGAGTTGAAATTCATTAGACGCGTGTCATTTTGTCTTGGGGCTGAATTATTGCATGTCGATGTGAGGATGAATAATCGATTTCGCTTTATTATAAAAAAAACTGTAGCTGGTTGCATTTTAATTAACGCGTCGATGAGATATCTCGTTGTTAAAAGAAAACGTTTAATGAAAAGTTATTGATGAGGTGTATTCTTGCTATAAAAAGTTTACGTAGCAAAAGATAAATAAAGATCTTATAGTGAGTCTACATTAAAAAGGGAAAAAGGTATCCTACGATATTATCGGAATGTAAATAACGCAAACGAAGTTTTATTCAGCTTATAATAATCGAAGAGAGAATTGAAATATCTATTACTAGCTTTTGCGAGGAATTAAAAAATATAAAAGTGAATAGCTTAGCCTTCTTCTAGACTATTCTTTACATTTAGGCTACAAACTCTAACAAACATTCATCTAAACTTTCGCATTTATAATATTAGTATGATTAAATACTTAACAATAGAACTGCTTATCTTGTAAACTTAAAATAGTGATAATTTAAGCAATGTAATGGTTCCATTTGCTTGTTATCAGCGTCAG